GAGAGAGAACAAAGGAAGCTTTTCTTTCCCTGTACCCTCTTCTGCTAGAAGTTGCAAAGGTCTGTTGACCAACTGGAATAATCATTTTCCATGAATACTACTAACAATACTTCCTTCTCACTCAATTGAAGAAACCAACAGAGTTTCAAAAGCTTGCCCAATGTGTTTGCGCATTTTGGTTTGCCAATAAAGGTATCACTCAATTATGAATATATAAGTCTGGTAAGTACTCTTTTTGCAGAAATGAAAATCCTGTTCATTGAAAGAAAACCCAAATGACCATAATTACACTATAAATTCTGAAGTGCAGATAGTCATCATAAGAAGTCCCAACTTATCTGTGTGCATGCTATCCAGAATTTAAACACGTGTTGATTTTCATGAACAAACAGCCTTAGTTGTTTTCATCTCATTGAAGAACAGGTCTTGCATAATGCTAATTGATTTTTATTGTCTGTTCAAGATTAAGCTGCCATAAATACTTTGCATTACAACAGGACTAACTCACAACAATATATTGTTGCTAAGACAATCCTCTTTTCCATCTGCTGTTGCAAGAACTAAGGGGGGCAGAGAAGACTGAAAGTGTAATGGCAATAAATATAATTCCAGCTAATTACAAGTTCTTATACTTCAGGCCTTATGCTACTCTTTTTTTTAAGCTGTATTGTGAAAAGGCCCTTCAACTCAGTTAGCTTTGAGTAGACTTCATCAATGGATGAATCTTGACATAGAATCAAACTACTGAGGCAAATATGTTAACAGGGAATCTTTTCATTAGACTCTTCAAAAGCTTTCAGTAGTTCAACTGGAACTATTCAGATGGCCGGACACTTGGATAAGTTATCCTCAACTTATCCTAGCAATACATTCAACTGGAACTATCTTACCCATATAGATTTGGAAGTAAGTCCTAATATCTTTAGTGAAGCTTATCATTGGTCAGTAGGTATAGAACTGGATCCTCAATAAAAAAAGGTAAAGGTTTCCCCTTGACATTAAGTCTAGTCATGTCCTACTCTGTAGGGTGGTGCTCTTCTCAAATTCTAAGCCAAAGAGCCGGCATCGTCCATAGCTGCCTCCAAGGTCATGTGGTCATGACTACCTTCCCGCCGGAGTGGTACTTATTGATCTACTCACATTTGCATGTTTTCAAACTGCTGACCTTTCAGTCAGCAAGTTCAGCAGCTCAATGGTTTATCTCATTGTGCCACCGGGTGCTCCCTGGATCCTCAATCAATCAAGTACTAAATTAAATTCCAATTTGTTAGTAACACTATGATGTATATATAGATAGCTGTTGTTGCTTGTCTTCTATTTCTTAAAAATTTCTTTTTCTCTGTTCAAAAACTGTTATTTGCAAAAAATAGCTTCATCTATTATATATATAAATTTCTTAGGGGCATCCAACGGAGAAACAAAACTCAAAAACCCCCCAACGAAACTTAACCAAAATTCCCATGCCCATAACACAACCCACAAGGTACAAACATATCTACTCAAAATGAAAACAACACAACAACACACTCACAAAACGGCAAAACAACAAAACTCAAAAAACCCCAACGAAACTTAACCAAAATTCCCATGCCCATAACACAACCCACAAGGTACAAACATATCTACTCAAAATGAAAAACAACACAACAACACACTCACAAAACGGCAAAACAACAAAACTCAAAAAACCCCAACGAAACTTAACCAAAATTCCCATGCCCATAACACAACCCACAAGGTACAAACATATCTACTCAAAATGAAAAACAACACAACAACACACTCACAAAACGGCAAAACAAGTGCTCTGAATACGAAGATAACACAGAGTGTGTCCGTCCGAGTGCAAATACGATACAAAAAAGGTCTACGACTAGCGCTTTATATCTTACTCCATCGCAAGCAAGAACTGCCCATGCTGAACTATGGATTCACTAGACCAAAACCATCGAGAGTACACTGAATGACTATTTAATACTGGTTAACAAACGTGCTAATTACCTTAGAATGACCATATCGCACTCCCATAACCATCGATTATCATCTATCAAAACTACAGATCCACAATTGTATGTGTGGTCTGCTTCTGTTTTACTATCTCCTGTTTCCTCACACTTTAGGTGTTTTTAAACACAGTTTCACATCTATTTGCAACCTTACAGCCAGATATTGTGTGATTTTTTAAATTAACAGATGGCTTTCATGATTCTCTGGGACTCACAATATTTTTGGATCACATATTGTATATCCCACAATTCTGTTGGGATGTTAAGCTGACATAATTGTTGATTATGTCTGAGACTGTCTACTTTGCATAGTTGTGGAAGGATATAGAGTATACTCCTTCTACATAAGCAGTCCCCTACTGTTTACCATGTGTCCAGCCATCTGAAAATTCCCCTCCCTTCTATTCCTAGTACAGCACTTAGGGCATCATTGCTGCCATTGCTGTTTGGGTCCTTTTCATTGAGAAGAATTTTACCCAACTGAGAGAGGTCATCTAGAATTTTTAAGTATAGTGCCATCAATTTGCAGATGGCACCCAAATCTACTGCTGCTTTCCACCCAAATCCAAGGACTTTAAACTGGTGCTTATAATACGTAACAACTGGATGAGGACAAACAAACTGAAATATGATTCAGATGAGACAGAGGCACTCCTGGTCAACCAAAAGGGAGATCAAGGGTTAGGGATTTTGCCTGTGCTAGATGGGGCCATACACTCTGAAGACACAGGTTCATACTTTGTGTGTACCCCTAGATTCAGTGTTGAGTCTGGAGGCCTAGATTTCAGTGGTGGTCAGGAGTGCCTTTGCACATGTTTCTTGTTCTGGCTATAAAAGTACATGCCTCAATTACATCCAGAGTTATGCTAATGCATTCTATTTGGAAAGTGTGCAGAAACTTCAGCATGTTCAAAGAACCGCAGCTAACTGTGACAGGTTAAAGAGACCATACTATGCCACTGTTAAAACCACTCCAAAGGTGACTAGTTTATTTCTGGTCAAATGTGCTGGTTATGGTTTATAGAGCCCAGGATAGTTCTGGTCCAGGCTATTTGGCAGAGCAGATCATTCTCTCAGTCCCACTATCACCAGAATCACTGTTGGCGGTTATCTGTGGCTATCCTAGAGTCTGGAATTCCCTTTCTAGAGAGTCAAGGATGGCTTCCTCGTTGTTGTCCAGAGAAGTGAAACCTCTTTATTCTATTAGGTTTTTAAAACAAAGTTTTTGAAGAAAGCTCTCCTTCACTGAATGTCTTTAAAAAGAGGCTGGATAGGCTACTTGTTGGGCATGTGATAGCCCATGAGGCCCTTGTAGCTCTATGAATCTCTGTATTTCCATGGAAGTTTGAATTCTAAAATCCCAGAGTTCTAGTTCAATATTCATGCAACTACACCACACTGGCTCTAAAAGATAAGCTTTTCTTGGCCAGATTCCTTCAGAGGTGGTTTTGCTCTTGGCTTTATCTTAGCCTGAAAGATGGTCACTTGCCCAAAGTTACCCAGTGGGTTTCTATGGCTGAACAGCGATTCAAACCCTAGTCTTTCAAAATTCTAGTCAAATTCTCCAAACATTACACAACTGTGGTTATCAACAGTCTAAGTAAGTATGATGTATTGCTTTGCAGTCTAAAAAAGGTTTAAAATCAGCTGAATCATGTGTTGTAAGTTGCATAATACTCTTTGTTCTATACTAAAGATAACAATTGTCATGTTAATACATCCATACTGATCTCATAAACCGATCTAATTTGCTAGAAGACCCAAACAGCACTTCCCTTACACTGTAATGAACAGGAAACAGCTCATGTGACATACCTGGACGAAAAGCTGCCTGCATTTTTAGTAGAGCTTCATTGCAGTCGGCTAAAAGGTACTTGGTTTTTCTATGATAGATGCGTACCACTCCTAATAATAGATGTCCTGAGGTTCGCAATGCAATTGCACACTTGGGGGAAAACATTGCAGTTATTTCATTTTGAGAAAAGTATATCATAAGAAAAATTCTGTCAGATACCACCAAAAGTTTATCTATTTCAGCATTTCCCTCCATTTCCTCAAATCTATCAAGTGCTTCTGACAAACCCTTAAGAAGAAAATAAAGACCAAGCCTCATACATAACAGAGCTCTTGTGCATCATGCTGAAATTCCTGGTGAGCCAAAAGGCAATAAATAAATGATTCCAGTGTTACTATTATTTCTTACAACAAAAAATAGTTCTCCCAAACTTGCTTCTTGGGAACCCAATAGCATATTATTTATGCATCTGGAGCTTCAACTTCTAATAGTTGCTGACAGCCCTTTCCATGAATTAGTCAAATTCTCCTTTAAAGGAAGCTAAGTTAATGACTATTTCCATATTCTATGGCTCAAATCCCACAAGCAGATTGTAGCACTGTGTCATAAAGTACTCTCTTTGGTGAGTCCCAAAACCAGTTCTAGAACAGAGGAGATGTTCTCTACGTACTTTTTCTATGTACAGTGTTTTAATTCTTTCCCACTTCCAAACTTAACTGTCCATCTTCTACAAACACTAATCTTTCCTTATATCTCAGTGTCAATAGTTACGTTTCTCAATTATTTTCAAATAAGGATGTTTCACCATGGGCACAAAACATTGCGTGATATTTAAGTACACAGGTGTTTTCTACGACCATTAGAGGTAACTTTTGTTATTGCTGTATGCCTTCAAGTAATTTCTAACTTAGAGCAACCCTGTAACACCATATTCTACTACTGAGAACATGTGATATTCCCAGTTAAAACCTCTTTTATACATTCCCTTTATGTGCTTATGAAATGAAGAAAAAAGGGCCACATAGACCTGCTTTGCCCCTGCCCACAACTCTGCAATCCATAAACTCCATGGAATATGGGAAATTGGCTTTTCCTCAATATAATGGTTCCCCACATTAGCAACAATTTGCACTTTTCACCAAAGAGATTTGGTGTGGGTTTCTTTGCCTTTACAGAAAACTAAATGTAGATGCAAATGTACATTTGCCAGAATGTTCTTTAGGATATTGCACACACCCCTAGAGAACTAGAAACATTTACATTTTGTATGACTGTCCAGGGCTACCTAGATGTGTTCTTTCTTTGGGGGGGGGGGTCTCAGGAAGATGGGAGTCTCTGCTGTTTCTGCCTGTCTTCTGCTATGTGCTGAGGGAAGGTATCTTCTGAGCACTGGGCCACATCAAGAGAGAGGCAACTGTATGCCACAGTAACTGAGGCAGCAAGGTCCTTATTGCTTTCAGGAGCCCCAGTGCCACCCTGCAAAGAGCTCTGCATGAGTCCCAAGAAGTAGTACACTTCCCACTCTTGTAATTGCTTTCAATGTTTCTTCTTTTATTTTATTACATTAATATTAATTACTTTTTGTTTTAAATGCTACTTTTTAAGGGGTTTCACACAATGAAGGATGAGGCTTAAATGAATGAGGTTTTAAATCAATAACAGGTGAAAACACTGGGCATGTTTATAGACATTCAGATAGCATTTTCTAGATAGAAGATTCTAGCATACATTTTGGGGAGTGGGTAGTAAATCTATGCCATCTCGAAGCAAACAGGGGTTTAGAACTCTTAGTCTACCCCCAACTGAACTGAACAAACAGTACTGTTACATGATTTTAATCATGTTGAGTAAAACCTTGGGGGCATTTCTGCTGTTTTATTCAAAGAGACATACCATACCTTTGGGGAAAGTATCTTTTCAATAGTCGTCTCTAAATTGCACTCAAATATATGAGCTTTTGTTAGTTTCTTGTCCCAGTGAGCAGCCAGCCATATCTTGGCCAAAGGCCCACGCTTATTCATCAGCGGTTGCATGTAGAACATTTTGCCAATATTATGTTCTCTAACTTGGTGCGCTAGAGGAGGGGGGAGGTGGAAGAAAAAATATTTTAAATGTTGAATGTGTCATTTTGAATAATTTTCACAGCTATTAAACAAAAAACAACAAGCAAGTTTTGTCTTAAATAATTGTGAACAGAAGGGGCTTGTTCTTAGATTTCCAAGTTCTGCAGGCAGGTCATTCAAATCAGATTTCCAACAATTCTGCTGATTGCATATACAATTTAGAAAAACAACAGAATTAGATACTTGGGTATAGAATATCATCTATATATTACAGGTGCATTTCCATTTAAGGCAAATATACCGAAATTGTAAAATGCTTGCCATATAACTTCATCTTAAATAAAATATGTAATTCCTTCTGTGAACAATGGAAACAATCAAGTTATTATTTGTTTTCTACATTTCTCTTGTTAAAAAAACCTCTTTATAATATACATTATAAAGGCTGCTATTTTCCAACACTGTAATTCTGATCACACTCATATGGAAGTAAACCTCATTAATATTACCAGAACCAATGTGTAGGCAAACATGATTAGGCTTTGTATAAATACAATTAGTTTTAGGAGCCATAGAGAGATATTTTCTGAAAAAACACAATAAACAAAATAGAAAAAGCATATTTTAAAAATAATTTCTACCTCATTAGGAGTGCCTGGTCTCTTGAAGAAAGTAAAAATATGGCAGAAATGGAGGAGACCCAGTATGCAAGAAAATAATAAAGGCTTGAGAATAATAAAAAAACAACAGAAAGAATGCATAACAAAAACAAGCTTGCTGGATCAAAGTTGTACAGTGCTTCATTTTTCTTTACCATCACTGGAATTGTCCAGGAAGCCCAGAAACAAGGCACAACAGGACAGATGGCAAAATAAAAGAATACATGCATTTCAAGGGAAAACATAGAATCCTTTGGAAAGCTTCTTTATTTAGTATTAGGCATGTTTTTATCAGATTACATTTAGAATGTTGTGAATATAGGATTGCATATTGCAAAACAGAAGAAAATAACTAATCTTTAACCACCCAGTGTGCATCTTCCTCCCTCTGTCTCCTATTTTGCTATCAATTCAGGTAGGAACTGTCCCATGCTGCCCTCCTCCAACAGCTGATGTCAAAGGTTCTTTTGTACAAAGTAAGTATGATGGTTTACTACAGAGGACTCAATGTGCATTCTAAAAATCATAATAATGAGCTGTGGGGTGACCTTGGAATGAAGCAGGCCAATAGGAAGTCCTATTACATCCTACAGGTGAATAAAGTGTCTGCCATTATAGGATGCCTTCCTATGACTACAAAGAGATTCTCACCCATAAACTATGAGGTTTGGTTAAGACCACTGCTGCCTATCTTTTCCCTCCTGATAAGACTTCTGTAACCTCTAAGAACAACACAGCAGGTAAAGATTTGGCAAGCTGCACCTTTGAATTTAACAGAACCTGCCCCAAAATAAATACCAGCAGAAAAGACTTGCTGTATAAGACCAAAGATTCATAGAATCATAGAGTTGGAAGAGACCTCATGGGCCATACGGTCCAACCCCCTGCCAAGAAGCAGGAATATTGCATTCAAAGCACCCCTGACAGATGGCCATCCAGCCTCTGCTTAAAAACCTCCAAAGAAGGAGCCTCCACCACACTCTGGGGCAGAGAGTTCCACTGCTGAACAGCTCTCACAGTCAGAAAGTTCTTCCTAATATTCAGATGGAATCTCCTCTCTTGTAGTTTGAAGCCACTGTTCCATGTCCTAGTCTCCAGGGAAGCAGAAAACAAGCTTGCTCCCTCATCCCTGTGACTTTCTCTCACATATTTATACATGGCTATCATATCTCCTCTCAGCCTTCTCTTCTTCAGGCTGAACATGCCCAGCTCTTTAAGCCACTCCTCATGGGGCTTGTTCTCCAAACCCTTGATCATTTTAGTCGCCCTCCTCTGGACACATTCAAGAACTTCAACACTGTCCAGCACACAACTGTGAAAGTAATGATCAATCACAGTGATAGGAAATAATTAGTGAAAAATAAGTGGCTAGACAGAATTAATCCCTTTTGACAAAGTTACATTATTACTCTAAACTCTTGGAGTGGATGTGCTTTACCAGTGTAACTGCGACTATTAAGTTAGTTTTAATTCCTTTTATAGTTGATTTTATAATTACATGGTTTGGTTTCACCAAAAGGTGGGAAAGGATTGTGCCGGCTTGTGCTGTCCTCATATTGTGTTATTTTTGCTAAATTGATAATATTAACACTATGTTAAAAAGTTTGAAAAAATGTATGTTCCTGGTTTGAAAATTTTATTTCCTGTTTAATTGTGTGGTACTTATTTTGAAAGTAGCTGTTCTACTCCAAAACTTTCATTTTTGTGGCTGCCACAAACAATGTTGAATTGCTTGAGATATTCCTGGGAAAACTATAGCAAAATGTACTTGCAGGATCTCTCTCTCGCAAAATACAGTTTTTGCAGTTTAATAAACCTTTTCCATGTTTTTAATGATAGACCCAATTAGGAAATGATATATATAACCCAGGAACAAAAACTGTGTTACATAATGTAATTTATTTATTACCCACCTCTTCTTGTGGCTCAAGGAGGGGTACAACATGGTTAAAACAGTGAGGTAAAGTAAAACATGATTAAAATACATATAACAAATATATACAGATAAAATGCAGATTAAAATTCACCTTGCAAGTTAAAATTGACAAGTTAAAATTGACTGGATACGTTAATGACAAGGTAAATAGGCCACTGGTTTGAAACATTTAGATATTTTAACAGTTGCATTTCAGAACTGGGAAAATAAAAGCTTCCTATAAAAACTTGTAACAGTAACAACATTTGAGGTCATAGAACTATCACAGTAACCAGTGACATTGGCCCCTTCCACACTGCTATATAATCCAGATTATCAAAGCAAATAATCCATTTGATCTGCTTTGAACTGGATTATATGAGTTTACATGGCCATATAATTCAGTTCAGAGCAGGTAATCTGAATTTTACTTGGAAGTGTAGAAGGGGGCTCAGAGGGACCCAAAGAATCCATGAGGTTTTGCTTCCGTCCCTGCTAATTGAGGGCCCTTCCACACAGCTATATATACCAGAATATCAAGGCAGAAAATCCCACAATATCAGCTTTGAACTTGGTTATCTGAGTCCACACTGCCATATATTCCAGTTCAAAGCAGACAATGTGGGATTTTATTCAGCTGTGTGGAAAAGGCCAGAAAATTCCTGGACCTAACCCAACTACATTAGATTACAGACCAAAACAAATTACTTTTTTATAATAATGATAATATTTATTTATTTACAGTATTTATACCCTGCCCTTCTCACTCCTAAGGGGACTCAGAGCAGCTTACAAAAGGCACAATAATAATAATCTTCCAGCCATTACCTCTCTTGACTTTGCCCTGGGGGTCAAAGGAATATTCTTCTGATCCTGGAAATAGCACAGCCTTGGAATCTAGCACAGAAAAATTAATATACAATTAACCAATGATACATCTTTCCAACTCCATAATGGAGTTTTAGTCTTTTTTAAAAACCATCATGACCAGTGGCCATATATTTTGTGGCAATGAATAGCATCACAATACCGTATTCCTTTAATTGTAAGATGTGCCCTAATTTCAGTCCTTCCGCCAACAACAAATCACATAAGATACACCCGTGATTCGAAGATGCAGCCCATTTTTAGAGATGTTTTTGGAAAACGTGAATCCCCACAACCATTTGGAAAATGGAATTCATAACTGGGTAGTTGTAGGTTTTTTCGAGGCTATATGGCCACGTTCTAGGGGCATTTCTCCTGACGTTTCACCTGCATCTATGGCAAGCATCCTCAGAGGTAGTGAGGTCTGTTGGAACTAGGAAAAAGGGTTTATATATCTGTGGAATGACCAGGGTGGGACAAAGGCCTCTTGTCTGCTGGAGCTAGGTGTGAATGTTTCAACTGATCACCTTGATTAGCATTTGATTGCCTGGCAGTGCCTGGAGCAATCTTTTGTTGAGAGGTAATTAGATGTCCTTGTTTGTTCCCTCTTCTACTTCCAACAGACCTCACTCCCTCTGAGGATGCTTGCCATAGATGCAGGCGAAAAGTCAGGAGAAATGCCTCTAGAACATGGCCATATAGCCCAAAAAGACCTACAACAACCCAGTGATTCCGGCCATGAAAGCCTTCGACAATACATTGAACATCTCTATGGGAATTCATAACCTTTTTGGAAAGTCACTGGTCAAGGAAAGGCATTTGAACAGTGATGTTCACCAGCATTCATGCAAGGCAACTAGGTCTCTCAGCTGTTAAACTGATGTACCTAGGTGCGTCTTTGAACTGTCAGGGACAAAGACATGCCAATGCACAAAATATATATTCAGTAGCAGAGTCTCAAGAAAATCTTCAAAAGTCAGGGGTCGTCTTATACACGAGTGTAGTCTTATGCATGGGAGTCGTCTTAACTCTATATTTTAACTGGAAAAGTTGGGGGTCGTCTTATACGCCCAGTCGTCTTATATGCCGGAATATACGGTACTCTCCATTAAAATATAATTTAGATCATGCTCTCAAAATAAACAGTCTTCTTTAAAAGTAATATAGTTGGTTTACTCACAAAACATCATGTATACAGCATACCGGCACTTTACGTATTAATCCAGTTACAATAGGATTTTAAGTAGATTTTCTGTGTATGTAATACAGGGCATCTTCCTTAGAAACAATAGTTCTTAGCCCATTGGAGTCTGCAAGCAAACATCCTACTGAAGCCTAAACTGTATAACTGTACTCACTGCTTCTGATACAAATGAATGGCTTCTACTCTAAGACTCTAATGGCAAACACTGTTCTAAAATGGAGCCATAGTCCTGAACGTGTCTAGATCTGATCACATGGTCTGCAGCCCTTCCCACAACAAAGAGGACAAGTAAAATCTGAAACAAATACACACATTCAATACAGTAAGCAATTCTATACATAAGAAATAACTAGTGGAGGATT